ATTATAGGCCCATACTGATTATCCATTTGAGTTCTTTGACTGGTATATTGAGTATTGAACCAGTTTTACATTTTATTAGAAAGGTATTTAACTGCAACCATCTGAAATATAGTGACAACGATTTACTAGCATAGAGTCGATACTGCTCTGCTAACGCTAATGTTTAGCAGGTATAATGCTCACTTCCATGCTATGTGCGTTAGCATGCTGTCAGACGAGAGAGTATTAGGGCCACAGTGATGGGAAAAAATCATGATGTCACCAGAATAAAGTTGCATTTGAGGAAAAAAGTCATAATCTTCAAGAGACAAAAAAAAGAATCTGCTTCACTCCCAAAATCTTGAACCAGTCCCACAGACACGTAACCCATGGTAACGTCACAGTCGACCACAACCAATCATTTCCTCCTCCACTAAAGAAGCAATGTCCCCCGAGCGTGTGATTCTGTCTTTGGCACAGTCTCTATTTCTCACCCAATCTTTTTAAAGTCTTATAATAATGTGCTGCTGATGAGTGTTTTCTTATTCGTGGAGCCTAAACTAAAAATAAGAAGCTTTACGTTCCCAATTTTAATTGATCTTAGCATATTCCTGCTTTAATATTTACTCTCTTAATATTATAATTTCCTTATCTTAGAATTCCACTTTTACGCTATATACGTAAAATGACGACATTACTTTATTCTTTATTCTTGGAATCTCTTTGTGCTCTGTTGTACTAACATTGGCTGATAAACAGGACTGACTGTCTTTAGTTAAACAAACCCAGCCCCAGTTTGTGCTTCTCATTTATTAACATTAGCACAGATTTAGGTCACGGAGATAAATAGTGTGTCTGTAGGATAATTATCCAACCATGTTAAGCAAAACCTGTTTTTCCAAGTGTACCCTCATATTCCCCAAAGACTCATCAAATCATCAGGAGGGAAAATATTATAATAAAAAAATGAATTCCCAATTTTTTAAAAACTTTAATAATGTTTGGTAATAGCCTTCATGAGATGCATAAACTGGAGCTGAAATTATCCAACAAATTATGAAACAGCTTTAACGAGGCCACTGAATTAATCTCAAAGTGCATGACAGTTTCAGCTTTAGTAACCCTGAGGTCAAACTCCTACATTTCTTCCTCAGATTCATTTTCAAGAAACTTTAATTTTTAATCCTCTCGTTCTCTAAACCAACAGTGACATGAAATCTTGTGACGCACCGTTATAGTCCCACTGTATATGTCAGAACCTTTTCAATTCACTTTCAGGGCCCGGAGTGAGTGAGTGAGTGAGTGAGTGAGTGGGAGGGAGGGAGAGATGAAAATGTAACGTTCAATGTCTCAACTTGTTTTATTTCTCACAATCAAAATGTCTGAAAGTGTGAAGTCCCAGCACAAATGATATTACAATAATTTCTTAGTGAAGCTCCTCCTGCTTCTCTCACAGTAGATTCTCTGGAATATAAATACGTTTTGCTTTTTAAATGTATTTGCAGAAAAAAAAAAGCACCATGTCTAATTCAAACAAAAGAAAGATAACAAGCGCTCAGAACTAATGTACAAATGGAAATACTTTTTTTTTTTTTATATCTGTGAGTATATTAACTTGAATTTGTGCTTTTCCTCTCAGGTCCTTTTCTTTATGAAGAGAAGTTCACAGCGACTGTTTTCAAACCGCTCACAGTTTGAATTAGTTTCTAACACCACTGTTGTCCTGCTCTCTCTCCCTCTCTCTCCACAGAAGGGTCACAACATGCTGTGCTCTCTCGACGCTGACGGTCGATTAAAGGTCTTCACAGCTCCCTTGTTCTGCTGCTTGATGTGATGTGGTGTCAAAACCCTTTTATATAAACCCCCCGTTTCTGTCACGGTCTCTGTGCGTCAGTAGAAAACACATCAGGCCTAAAATGAACTCACACGTCTGATGAACTGATTCTTGTAGTTTGCTGCTGACTGATGCTCTTTATTTTAGGTGTGTAGCTGTAGTTCTCCCTCGTGTTCCTGTTTAACTAACCTCCTGTCTGATCAAACTTCTGTCCCCGTCTTCTCCTCTTCTTCTTCACGTCTGCATCTTTCTGTTCCACCTCTTTTTTAGTTTTTCTCTGTATCATGTAGGTAAAATGAAATGTAGCCATAATTTTACATCATCTTCCCCCTTCATTTAAATCCCTCTTCCTCTTCTCCTCCTGCTCTCCTTGACTATTTTTTGTTTTCCAGGTGAATGGGAAGGAGCTGTCCCGCCTTTCCACGGACCCCACCCTGGACATGCGGGACCCTGTGCTGTCCAACATACTGAGGCGGGGGGCTCGCAGACGGGCGGGTCTGGCGGGAGCTCCTGGAGGGTTAGTGCCTCTGACCATGGGCATGGCCGACTGTGTAGACAGCTGCACCCAGACAGACATCAGCTTCCAGCATATGTTGACCCTGGGAAAGAGCAGCCAGCATCCCTGTGGTGCTCCTCCCCCGCCCGACCCTCCGCCATCCCCGCCGCTACCACCCCTACTGGAGCCATATCTACTCAATGAACTGTGAGTACGAGTGTTTCAGCCCTCTGCAGCAAGTCCTCCTGCCAGACCAGAACTCATCTTGTGGTTCTAGAAGTCCAGACCTAAAGATTTTAAGCTTCCCAACCATTGTGTCCTCTCATCCTCAGCTTCATAGAGCCTGTGTACTATGACCCCACCGACTACTTCGATATCGCTCAGCATGAAGTGGACCGGCAGGACGAGCTGGAATATGAGGTGAGAGCCCATCAGTGACTCAAACTCTGCTGCCCCGTTGTTCTCTGTCTGACATCCTCTCCACCCTCTCTCCACCTGCACCAGGAGGTGGAGCTGTGCAAGTTCCGTCAGCAGGATAAACTCGGGCTGACGGTTTGTTACAGGACCGATGACGAGGAGGACCTGGGGATATATGTAGGAGAGGTGAAGGCATTGTGTTGAAATGACACTCTCTTAAAAAATATATTCAATATTTTGATTCTCCTGAACAAATCCTTTTTTTGATTTGTTTCCAGGTGAACCCAAACAGTATTGCTGCAATGGATGGCCGCATCCGCAAGGGAGACAGAATACTACAGGTGCAGCAGGAGCCAATAACAGCAACAATATAAATAGTGAAAATAATAATAACAAAACCCTTAGTTATATAGTACTTCTCTTAACAATTTTACTAAGTACTTTACGAGGAAGAAACTATGCAAAATAAAACAATAGAATATAAATAAATAAATAGGATTAGTCTGTGTAAATAAGAGCCAATGTGAGTCATTTTTAAAAGATTTCATAATAAAAGTTTTAGGAAAGGGTTTAGTGCATTGGAGCAGTCAAGGCGAGATTATAGAAAAGCATATACAACATTTTGCACGTCTGCAATTGATTGAAATATGATGAAACAAGGCTTTAAAATTAGAGTTTTAAGTCAAAGTGCAAAGATTCCTCCCAGTCGGCTTATTATTCATCAGATGGGAAATTAGCCGCAGCTAAGCAGGTGGGACGGAAGCAGAATGAACGTAGACTTAGACATACAAGAAAAACAGAAAAGCACTGGAAACTAGAAGATGCTCGCAAAAATGCTAAACTGAAAAAACAAAGAAAACACTGGACAAGAAGACGACACGGGAAAATCAGAACAAAACTGTGAAAAAACCAACAACAAACTGAGACAAAGGGAAACACAGAGACTTATATACAGAGGGAGGCCGGGATGACACAGGTGAAACACATGAGGAACAGGTGCAGACAATCACAGGGGCGGGAAGCTAAGCTAGAGCCACACTGAACTCAGAACTCAGAATGAACACAAATCCAAACACAAGGAAAGCACAGGTAAAAGTCAACAAACAAAAAGAGTCCGTTATCAACATGACAAAAATCCCCAAACTCTTGACCTCAGAGTCCCAGAGTCTTGAAAACTCAGGATTTAATGTGATCGGCAGGCAGAAGAATCATCTGTATGAAAATGATAAAATGAGAGAATATATCATGGACACTTCAGACCTTTTATATGCTCAATGAAAGCAGCGTCTTAGATAACCTCTGACCTGCATTAGAGCTGGAGTCACTTTTAACGCACCCTCACTCCAGGAAATGACTAATAGTGCAGCATTTATTCTGAAGTCATTCATAAGTGATTAGATATCATTACCAATGCTATTAAGCTTAGGAGAGTTTTTTTTTTCAGTGTTGTAATTCTAAAGAAAAAACCATTTCCTAAAATGAGCGATTTAATTGAATCTAGCTTTGGTGCAAAAGGATCTTTCATTATTAGCTCAACTTATTCTCTTCCTGCAAACAGATAAATGGAGTGGACATCCAGGACAGAGAGGAGGCGGTCGCTATTCTCACCAGAGAGGACAGCACTAACGTCTCCCTGCTCCTCGCACGACCCGAGATAGAGGTGAGGAAATTGGATATTCAGTCCACAGAGAGCGCTACAAAGCTCCATCTGAACGCTGACCTAAAAAAACCTTCTTCTTTTTCAATTATTCTACATTGGCTGTATGACGGTGGAGCTCCATATCACCGCTCAGTCGTGAGATTGCAGGACACAGAAAGAACAAATGAGAAAGAAAATAAACTGGAAACGATAGAATGTCTCTCAGTGGAGCACACACGTCTGCCAAGGCCCCACAGTCCACTTACAGTCAACCAGGCTGCGATAAATTTCACATATTCATACATATCAGTTCCCTGAACATGTCTGATTATCTTCATCAAGATCCAGAAATTATTCCCTGGGAAATCAGTGAAACACAACAACAACACCCTCTCGCAATATTAAATACGTGATTAACGAAAGAAAAACAAACTCCTGGATCTGATTCTGCACCATAACTTAACGAGTTCTTCCTTGACCCATGACAGATAGATAGTTAGATAGAAAGATGGATAGATAGATAGATAGATAAACACAAAGACGGGCAGTGATACTGACACAGGGTAGCGGAAGGCATTGACAAGCAAGTGGAGAGATCGAAATCTGTTCGCTGAAATTTTGCAGCTTAAATAAACCGCCAAATTGGCAGGTTGTGTATGATGGAGGATTGTGGAGAGGGAGGCACGTCACATGTTTAGAACAGCACAGATGGAGCTGACTGCCTGAACTAGCTGGCGAGCGTCGCTCCATTAGATTCATATTTCTATTTGGATCAGCACAAAATTCTAAACGCTCAGTATTTCATCAAGATCCATGAATTATTCTTCGAGGATCAAAATTGAATCGTCCCTTCGTCGGGTTACGCTTCCACACGGAAATCACTTCAGTTGTTTTTGTGAAATCCTGCTTAGAAACAATCCAACCAACCAACCAACCAACGGACAGGGATGAAAACATAAGCTCCTCAGTGGAGGTAACGAGGAAGAGTGTGGTTCTCAGCTTCGTCCAACGCTGCACGTTGTCGATGAGAACATTGATAGCATGAATAAACAGGCGAAGACAAATAGTGCTTGTATTCACTGTGCTAATGTGGCGCCGCTTTGTTTCCCTCAAGGTCACTGTTCCAGGACATGAGGACATTCTAACACACACCGGACACACACTCCTGCCAAATGACTTGTAAATACACAACCCGACACATGTCGGACCAATGAAATGGGTTTTCATTGCATTGTTAAAAAAAAAAAAACATGCTGCAGATGGAGGGAGGAGGTCTGTGAGAGAATACAAGGATCTGTATGCAGGCTGCATTCGTACAGATGGAGCTAGAGGGCAGATTTAAAAGGCCCTCATTAAAACAGTCTTAAGTCAAAGGTGTAGACTCACACACACACACACACACACACAGACACACACACACGTAGCCGCTCCTTTCTTCAAATATGTCCTTGTTTTTGGAGAGAGGAGCACTACCTGTGAGAGGCCGACGAGTTTTATATTACCAAGGCACAGTCCCACATTAAGATTCAAGAGTGAGGAGGGAGAATAATCAGAGGGAAATGCAGAAGCCCAGATTAAAGCTGGATCTGTTGTCTTAGGGGAGAAGGGGAGAGAAGTGAAGGGGATCGTCGAGGAATAAGAGCGAAGAAGACGATAATCAATGCTTCATCTTTGCAGTCGACACCCAATTCACAGCCAAATCAAACCAATTAGCCGAACTAAACTGCACTGCGAGGAGAGGAGGGTTCGCTAATGTGAGCTCAAGCATTTGCATTATATCTGATCAGCGTCTGAGCAGATGCCAATCAGAATAGAAGAGTAAACACATTAGAGACAACAACAAATATTGAGATTGGATCACTCTGGGTATCCTGGATGGATATTTCATCCTCTAATACCAAAAAATATGAAACTAATCTCATCTCAATCAGATAGAACGTGGTCAAAGTTTCCCGAGTTACATCCGAATAGTGATTTTTCATGTTACTGACAATTCATTCAACGGGAGCTAAAAGCTGTAGCAGTCTCAATACTCCATCTAGTGGCAGAAAAGAATATTAATCTTTGGTATCAGTGTTCAAATGTGCTGCAATCAACATTAAACCTGCTGTAATCAGTAGAACCATCTAGTTTTGCAGCCTCCTCACTTCTATGCAACAATCTCAGTGTCTTTCTGCTCCTGTAACTTCTCTATTTTCAGTTTTTTTGAACCCCTCTGAATCCACACTTTAATCTGCACAGCAAAGTTAGCAACTAGCTGTCATATTGTGTCATCTGTAGTCACCCCTAACAGAGGCTCTGACCCAGGGGCCCTCGGACCTCTGACCCAAAGAGACCACAAAATCAGGAAATGCTCGTCTAAAGCTGTGAAGATATTTCATGTTTAGCACCAATACAGTTTCCTCTTCTTTTTTCTCCTCCACATTGACCTTGACGTCTCCACACCTCTCAGAACGACAACCAGCTGGACCAAGATGAGCTGGACCTGGAGCCCCTGGACAACGCTGTCCATCTGCCCAGCAGCCACAGAGTGAGGTCCAGCACCTCCGTCCTGGGTGCTGGAGCAGGCGGTGTTGCAGGTGGAGGTGTACTAGGCGGTCACAGCCGCTCTATAAGCAGGGATTCACCTGATTTGCTCCAGACGGTGTTGAGCAACAGCCAGGAGCTGGACAGCGGGGTGGGCCGTACAGACGAAAGCACACGTTATGAGGAATCGTCAGAACATGACCTCCTGGGAGACGACCACACTAGCGCCCCCAATACAAACGCCACCAACACGCCGGGCAGCATGCGGAAGTTTTTGTCTGGTAGAGGAGATACTCCGCCCTTGCTGCACTCCCAGGACCTCCAGTTCAGCACTGACTCCCTCTTAGGGCTGGACTGTGTAAACGGTGGAGGGCTGGAGCAGGTGGAGCGACTGGAAAGGACGTACGTGGCAGATCCTGTGAGGATGATGATGCCTGGGCTGACAGAGGAGGAGTGTGAGAGGTACAAAGAGCTGCTGGAAATCAAGTTTTACTACGAGAAGAACAGTGACGCTCTGCTGCTGCTGGGAGGCCAGGGGCCGGAGCAAGAAGGCGGGAGTGTCGCACTGGACGTGAATAGGAATGAGAGCCTGACGCAGCATGAGATGGCTCTTTTGGAAGAGGAATTGCGTCACTTGGAGTTCAAGTGTCGTAACATCCTGAGGGCGCAGAAGATGCAGCAGCTGCGGGAGCGATGTCTGAAGGCTTGGCCTCTAGAGGACAAGAACGGAGCGAGTGCAGGTGCTGGACGCTTGGACATTTGTGGGACTTTGGCCAATGAGGAGTCCTGTCACCACGCTCTCTCAGATATCAACGAGCTTCCAGAGAGGGAGCGCTCCGATAAGGACAGTACGAGTGCCTACAACACTGGAGGGGAGAGTTGCAGGAGCACCCCTCTGGTCAATGAACAGTACCCATCACCCTCTACACAGAGCCTGGAGGGAGGAGAGTCTCTTTGTTCAACTTTCACTAGGCAGAGAGAGAGGGGGACCAGGGACGGAGCACAAACAAACCTGAACCAACCCTACTCTAACACCCACAGAAGAGCAGCAGACACTAAGACATCCAGCCCTGGAGCTAAAGTCAGGTCCCTGTCTCGAGATGGGGGAACTAGGAGGGGCTCAGATGGAGGGATGAGACGTAACCCTAAAGCCAACGGGACAGCAGAGAGGGCTGGTGGACGCAGCGCAGAGAACAGCCCCTACCTGTCCCGTCGACAAACTGAAACAAAGCCTCCTCACCGCTACCTGAGCTGCATGCAGCTGAGGTCTCCCTCCACATCTGAGCAGCTCTGTGGTGTCAGAGAGACTCCCAGAGAAGGAAGCATGGAGACTGGGGGTGACGACAGCCCGATGAGCTTGGGTAGCACATGTAAAGGCGTGGCCCAGGCCCCAGGTGCTGTACCATTACCCTTGTCCCCCTCTCTGATGCCTGCCTCCCCTCGTATGGAGTGGAAGGTGAAGATACGCAGTGACGGCTCTCGCTACGTGGCCAAACGGCCCGTGAGGGATCGCCTACTGAAGGCACGCGCCATGAAGATCCGAGAGGAGCGCAGCGGCATGACGACGGATGACGACGCCGTAAGTGAAATGAAGATGGGCCGTTACTGGAGCAAAGAGGAGCGTAAGCAGCAGCTGCAGAAGGCCCGCGAGCAGCGGCGGCGTAGAGAGTTTATGATGCAGAGCCGTCTGGACTGTCTGAGGGAGCGCGAGAGGGAGCAGGGCGGCGGTGGCTGTCAACAGGGGGAGACACACCAGCAGGAAGCCAACTCTATCCTGGAGCTTTGCCACCGCAGGAGCATGAAGAAGCGCAGTCGCAGAATTCTGGACAACTGGATCACGATTCAGGAGCTGCTGGCTCATGGGAGCAGGTCTGCAGATGGGAAGAAAGTCTACAACCCGCTGTTATCTGTCACCACAGTGTGAGACTGTGGCACAGACATCCGTCTGCAGGGAGGCAGCATCGATCCTAAACACATGTCAATGATGGTCATTGAACGTAGCATCGGCCCAAATCTGAAATGTTTAAACAAGCACATGACTGCGACTGCAGCAACAGTCAGTATCACGTCCTCCTTAACAGAAAGACAAAACACACTTTAAACCACATTGAATTTGTTTGGTTGAATGGGCGTGAAAAAGTCAGGGAAAGGCTTTTACCCATGTTTACGTGTCAAATGCGAAGAATGTGATTCTTTCTATCTTCATCTGAACAGACTTAAGAGACAAACACATTAGCAACCTTTTCAGAGGGAATCCAGCCAGAGAGCTGCAGCAAGACAAAGACGCACATCGTCATTCATGTTGTGTCTCGTTACATAAAGAGGAGATGCTCTGTGAGATGGCACCACCTGCTGTTAGACTGTTACACAAATGGTGGAGAACTGAATGTTTTTTTTTTTTTTTTATCTCTACAGGCCTCTAACAGGTTTTTATGAGTGACAGAACAGATAAGAGTCATGGGGAATCATGCAGCTGTGAAAACTCGATGAGAAAAAGCCACTTCCGTGCCAGATAACTGTAAATGTAGTGTCCACACAGGACTTTTGATTAAGCACATTTTCAAAGCAACATTGTTCCAGTTGATGTAGTTGAGACATTTTCTTCATTCCCGCAGCGTTCGTGTACAAATGTTTCGGAATCAGAGGCTGAGCCGATTCCTCCCTTCAGGCAGATTTGAACAAATAGCACAAGTTTCCAAGCGTTCCATAAAAAATAATGCAGCTAAGAGAATAAAAAATTTAGGCACATAGTAACTGACAGGATTATTTTATACGTGAAAAAGCACAGAAAACATTTGATATCATTTAAAAAGGAAAAATATCAAATCCTGTTTCTACAATTGTCAGGTCAAAATGTCCTGCTCACACCCAATTGTGCCATGTTTAAGAAAGTAGGAAAATAATCCTGGATCTGCCCGTTTATACTGATCCGTTCTGCTTTGGGCGTCATGCACCAAATTTCATGGAAATAAGTGTTTTTTTTGTGTTTTACTGCTAAAAAACTAACACTGATGAAAACCTCCTAACCTCCCTATTGGAGGTTATGGCTATTATTGTTAGCTTCAAGAAAACCTGTCGACTGGGCCAATGGCTACATCATGTATCTATGTTCTGTACATTACCTGTCATTCATGTCTGGTGTGTTATTTCCAAATTTAGCTTTTTGTTTCAAGCCACTGGATAATTATCTAAAAAGTTACCCGGACTAACAGTAAAAGCCAATTAAAGTCTGCGGAGACTGATCCATAAGTAAAAGTTTTTTTCATTTTACTTTAATGCATGTTTTGATATTGAGGCCACCCCATCATGTACTTAAAGCCTTTAACATACTGTAATTGTGGATGTCTTTCTATGATCTGCTCATAGCATAGAGAAAAAAAAACCAATGTTATACTTGTTTGTTGAATATTGTGGTGTCCAGTGTCTGCCATTTTGCAGTGGAAGCTTTTTTTAAATAAACGCTGTGATCATGAAAACTGTGTCTGTCGCGTGGTAGAATTCAGTGAATGAACGAGTCAACATGTCCTAAACAATTCTAAACCTTTATTTTTCTAACAAGAGTGAAAAGAAACAAAGGCAACATTAAATGAAAAGTTTATACACAAACTCACGACAACTGTGTGTCTGCAATATCAATAATAATAATAATAATAATATAATTTGAACCCAGGAAACAAAATAATTTGTGACAAAGTGAGTTACAGTGAAGTTACCTTAATCTGCAAAGAGAGAGAATGAGGGAGGGCGGGCGAGAAGAAAAAGAGGTCAAGTTGAAAAGGAATAAAAAGATGGAGTCAAGAAGAAGAGCTTAAAAAAAATGGAGGGAAGGGAGATGAGACAAAACAGGAGGTACAGATATCCATTTTGGGAAAGTAGCACCAAAAACATTAATGCCTGTTTATAACACTTCCCAAAATTTACTCTGTTTATTCAAAATGCATATCCCCTCAAAACGGCATTAAACACAAGAGTCAATACAACTAAAAAAATACAAGTGTAACCACGGTGCTGTTTTCCAAGATCAGCCGTCAAAACCTGCTGTACGTCAGCGTCAGGGGAACAGAACTGTCTAAACGAACCAAATAGCTTATCCGACGTCCAACGGGTGGGTTCAAGTGAAGTGAAAACCACCGGTGCTGAGCCAGGCTTCGTTTGAACAAGCATTTAATACAATTGGGATAACATAGCATACTGACTGACCAGAGACAACTCTAGACCAATGAACATTCCTATTACGTTAAGTCCCACGTCGGTCCAACACAGTCTTTTAATATGTTCAAGGGGAAGATGGGTTTCGAAGGAGGAGGATGAGGATAAAGTCTGGGTATGGGCAGCGAGTCTGAAGGAGTAATGAATGAGGCAATGGAGTGTAGAAGAGTCGTCTCTCTGTTTATGTCTGAATGGATCGATGAGGGATGAGAAGGGGTGGAGGGTGGAGGAGGAGGGGGGGATGTCCTGCATCTTTCTATAACTTGACACGGTTTTCTGGCACAGAATGTTCTGTCCCTTCAGCTCCTCTGCAGATCCTCTCACACAGAGCTCCAGCGTTGACTACATCACAAAATCTGGGAAAGACAATTGTCATCAAGTGTCATTTTTAGCAATTTCCAGAGAATGAAAAGAAGATATTTAAAGCAGAAGTAAAATCAAGGGGCTGTTACCTCTGGGCGAGTCTGGTCAGGTAAGTGAGGAGAAGGGCTGTGGCTGAGGGGACAGGTTTTCTTTGACTCAGAGGCGTCCAGTGACCGTTCGCCTGCCACGTCCCCACAGCCGCCTCTGTGGCTCTTCCTCTTCCTTTTGGAGTCCTTGGCTCGGCTGCGGCTGGTTCGTCTCTGCTCTTCAAGCTCAATCTGAGGGAGAGAAAGAAAGATGACAAGAACGTTGGAAAAGAAGCAGCTGAGGTGAACCAGCATCAGGAGAAACGTAACAATACACGCGGCAACTTATCTCTGCTTCCAAAGGTATAAGAAAGGATAAGAAATGTATTAAAGGTCTAAATTTCACATGTTCTTTGTTTATCTTGAACTCAAACAAGCTGCTGGTGGCTCTGTATCTTCTGAACACACCAGTGTATTATTGGAAAGTGAAGTTTATTTCTCAAAATGTGAAAACAGCAAATGGTCCAGTTTAGGTTTAGTTTGTGCTTTAAAATTCTGTTCTTGGATTTAATGATAGATGTTTAACGTCTGACGTTGAATATGCTGATGCCCACGTAGGAAATAACTGTCCTCACTTTAACTCCATTAATACTTAATTTAGAAAGCGGAGTGTTTCTGTTTTCCTGACCTGAATGAGTGTGTGCAGTGAGTCTTTAGGTGGGACAGAGGAAGCTTGGAGAACTCGGTGGATGATGTGAGTCTGGTCCAGAGACACCTCCAGCAGATCTCCCTCCAGCTGCAGCTCCTCCAGATGGTTCCTGGTGGCCGTAGAAAGCTCCACCACCTGGCCCTTCAGCAGAGGCAGCAGGGGCAGCAGAGACCCCACACCTGAAAAAAGGGACGGGGAAAAGTGGGAGTGAGTGTCTGTGGGACGGAGGGAATGAAATGACTTGATGGTTATAATGTTAACAGTGTCTAACCTGTAACGTTTGACTTCTTGCTGGTGCCATTTTCACATCCAGCCTGTAGGAACACAAGCAGCGTGTAAAAGAGGGAAGGTGGATGAAGTATTACACAAACAGTCAGCAAATACAGATAATATATTCAAATTAAGAGAAGGAGGAGGAATATGGTGTTGACCTGAGTGCCATTGCTTTCATTGGTTTTCTTTTTAGGTGAATTCTCTGCCGTCAGATCAATGACTCCATCCTCTCCTTCGCCTCCCTCGGAATCTGACAAAACTATGACGGAGCTCTTTCCGGTCTTCTTTTCCATGTCTTCATCTTTCCCTGCTTCACTGTGCAGAGTCTCTTTGAGTTCCTGCAGCTTCTGAAGAGCCTGCTGCAGCTCGGACGTCTCCAGCGCCTCTTTAGCTCGGCCCTGCCAGGTGATGGCCCTCTCTGTGAGACACTGCAGGGCCTCTCCTTCAGGGAGACGCACCGGCAGCCTCTGCAGGGCCACGAGTAATGCCAGGATAGTCTCCAGGCGTGGGCGCCGTGACCGCTCGCACTGCGGACACAAGAAACGCGCTTCCCAGTCCCACCAGCAGAGCGGGTTAGTCAGCAGTCCAGAGGAGGGGAGCAGGGAGGGGAAAGGAACGCAGCCACCATGGAACCAGTCCTTACACAGATGGCAGCGGAGCTGAGGGGCACGGGGCTGCCCGGCACACACACACACCGTCACAGGGGGGGTGGTGCAGGTGTGGTTACTGTTGCCATTCTCTTTTACAGAGTTCTCTGAGTGGCTGGATTTGTCTGTCTCCATGGTCTCGTCCCACCTCCCGTTCTCCTTGCAACTTGAAGCATTAAGTCCAGATTTACATATGTTCAGTTTCTGTAACCTCAGTAGTGCTTCCTTCTCCTGGTGCTCTCCTTCTTTGAACGCCATCACCTGATGTAAAAGCACATATCAGGCACAGGTCAACAAACAACAAGCATTTCAGAGAAATTACAAACACACAAAGTCATGTTCAGTAAACTCACAATCGCGGCAGGATCCCTCAGGTCCTGAGCAGAGAGGCCCAGAGTGTTGGAATCAGAATCATCCAAAATATCATCCAAGGCCTCCGTCCCACCTCGCCTCTCTCTCCTTTTTGCACACGGACATAATACCTGCAATGGTAACACTCAAGTTAAATGTATGCTCTCATGAAGGATACCTTACCAAGAGCTGTTCAAGTGGAATGTAATATTAGCTTGCACAGAAAATCTATGTTGTTGTGACATCAAATCTTATTTCCCCATTTCCCTCCAAGTCACCCACCTCTAGCAGACTGTGCTGACTGCTCTTCTTCAGGAAGGTCTTGGTGGCCTTGTCCCTCCAGGAGTGAGCGCTGGCCACCTGCAGCTCCAGCTGCCTTAGCTCCTCCATGAAAACTGGCAGATCCCTTCCAATAGCCACCAGGCCCTCCAGGTCATCCAGACACGGGTAATGCTCCCCATTCTACGATAAAGATAATTGATAATAATGCAACAACATGAGATACAGTGTCTTTTACAATTTTCATTCAATTGGGGCCATGAAGAAGACACCATTTTTTTTAATACCTGGATTTCATCCAAGTCCGTCACCCAGGCCCGTGCTCGTGTGAGACAGCCCTGTAGAGACAGAATGTTTGGAAGCTTGACCGGGATAAGCTGGGCCTCGTTCACAATTGCCTCCAGGGTGGAGAGGGGGTGTTTTTGACTGGAAGACAAAAATGATGACAAAGATATGTTTGAAACAAGAAACACTGGTTGTGACATGACAACAATGCCTGCCTCAGGTGAAGTGTAGAGAAAAGTATCTTGTGTGACTTCCTGACTGTCTTACCTTTGTTCGAGGCAGATTTCTGCTTTCTCCTCCCAACGCTCTGCGATTGTGAGCAGCTCCTGAAGCTCTGCCATGGCCGTCTCCACAGATACACTCTGGGGCACATTGCAACCTGCCTGCATCAGGATCCTTAACACATCCAACGTCACCTCCTGCCTCTCACCTCCTTCTGTGCCCAGGGTGCACCTCACCTCTGCCAGCCAGTGGCCCTGCTCCTTCAGGCCCTGAAGCAAATCACACTCTGGCACCATAACGGGCAGCTTGCCACCCTCCTCCAACAATGTCTGCAATCGCTCTGGTGGTGGCGAGTCCCTCCTCCAGTCCCTGTCACTGACCAATGCTTGAGCCTGGCTCTGGAACTCCTCTACTGTCTGCAGCACCGCCTTGAAAACCAGGGGATACAGACATAAACATTTAATGCACTCAATAAAAACAGAACTTTAAGCTGAGTTTGTAAAATTGTTGTGATGTATGTGAGTATGTATGTGAGTATGTATGTGTGTATGTTCTAACTGTATAAAGTTACAAATCAGGTTTAGTCAGCAAACTGAGAGTAATTTTAATTGTTTTCTTATAATTGTGACATTGTTATCTTACCTGCACTTCCTCCAACTTGTTCATCACACAGGGCAGATTGTGCATCGTCTCTACCAAGGACTTCAGCTCTGCCAAGGTCATCTTATTTTTACTGAAAGGCAGCAAAATATAAGCCTGTGTTGCTGTACAGACAGAGGTAACATCAACTTTGTGATCCTTCATACCTGCTCTTTGACTCATCCAGGAGTTCATTACTCGTCTGTTGGCAGCGCTCTATGTCTTTAAGAACTGTGTTGAGTCTCCGGAGAAGTTCGTTGTCTGGAAACTTTTTGTCTGACGCCTCCGTCTTCAGCAATTCCAGGTCATTAATTCCTGCAATTGAAGAAGCATTAAATTTTGGCTTGTTCATCGAAAAACACAAATTAAGGCTGAAACTAAGTTTAAGAGATTCAATCATTATAATCTCTCACCTATCTTGTTTCCTTCTTCTTGCTCAAGTGCCTCTTTCACTCTGTTGGCCCAGGAATCAAAAGACTCAGATCGAACCTTTAACCGGTGAAGCATGGCCAGCAACTCATCCAGGGTATATCTGTACCTGTAAGTGACGGGATTTTTTTTTTTTTTTTACATAGATTCAACCAGACAGAAAAGTACACTGTGGTACATTATGGGCAATCATACTTTCTGAAAAGTATACAAACACACAAAACAAGTGAATACCTGAGGTAGAGTTTTTCAGTGGGGCAGTTGCACAGATCCTGAGTGTGATAGAGACACACCAGACGCTCGGGGCATTTCGAACACGCCAAAGCAGAAAGGAAGCATGTGGTCTTGCATTTATCACACTGTCGCTCGTCGTCAGGCAGCAGCTCAAATGCCTCGCGCTCTGCTTCGGTGATCCCCTGCACGAACATCACAGATTGCATTGAACGATCAGAGTTTAGAAGATTTGACAGGGCATCAAATTAATGAAGCTCTCCTTATGTAGCTCACCCGTTCCATCAGTCCCTTCCGCAGCTTCCTCTCCTCCTGAACAATAATAAACATTTCCCGGTGTGTGGCTGCGGCCAGGTTAAGATCTAGTTTCTCTGGGCTGGCAGCCATTTTACAGGTGAGCTCCTCGTGGGAGAATACACAATACCTCCTTAGACGGCGGTAGTGCTCAATACAGGATCGGCCAGCAGGTAGCTGAGGGCAGGAGAACGCAATGATCTTAATCAAGGAATCTTAAATAATATGAAATGATGACCTGAGAGAGAGACCGTGTGGACAGACATACCCAGTCTGCAGTGCAGAAGTTGACAGCTTCAGCAAAGTTATATCCCTGATTAAAGCCACTGTGATAGGCTCTGGGGAAGGTGATGACGAACTCGCCAGCACACTGGTTGGTGCGTACAACCTGCAATTTAAAAGCAAAGAGGTAAGAAAGCTTTTTAATCAAACATATTTCTGCCAGGTGCATGTGTGTGTGTGT